TTTTTTTTTGGAAGCTCTAAAATACAGTTACTGATGGCGCCAATTCATGAAAGTTTGTGTTCCTGCAAAAGTATATTAGAAAGTAGATTATCCTCCCATCTGCAAATAGACAAAGGATGTGCTATGGATAACGGGTGGCGGTGGTGGGTGTGTTGTTGTTTTTTTGACAGAAAATGACGAAGTTGAACAAGCTGTCCTGTCAAAAAAATATTTAAACTGTCCTTTACTTGTGTAGTGGGATTGTAGTGTGTGCTGCTATTTGTTTGCCTGAGGAATTTATTTGAAAGCCGCACATCCTGTCACATTGAGATTCAGTTGGACTGAATGTGTCATCACATTGATCTGCTGTGCTATTTGAGACATTGTAGTGGCAGGAACTAAACATGAACAGTTAGATTCAATTTATGGCGACTATAAAGAGTTAACAGTTCCAGATAGTGTGTGTGTGTGATGCACAGAAATGCACCAACATAATACAGTTATTCAAGCAATCTGGATTGAGCGGTGGCCATAACATTACACTGGCACTCTGTAATTACTTCACAGTGCTTCCACCAAGTAGAGAGCATTCACAACAGGGGAAAGAAAAAGAGTTGCCAATTGATGTAATGTGATTTTACAGCGTTTTGCATATTTTTTTAAACTGTCCCTGGTGGTGAGCTTGAAATCGAAACTGTATTTTGAAGGGAGAGTCACTGGTCTGTGTTGTAGGTGAAGGGCCAGTTCAAAGTACAGCAGCAGGACGTCTCGTGTCGAAATTGTTTGGACAACACCTGGTTCAAGTGTAATTGATACGCGTTATAAGTACCATCAGACATTCAGACACATTTCAAGAATAATTCGTTGGTGATGTTACACCTAAAATTTCAGTGAAGGGAAGAAGGAAGGAAGAGTGAAAAAAGAAAAAAATAATCTTGGCTCAACTTGTCAAACAGCCTACGTGCTTGTTGATGATTCTCAGTGACTGCTATAAAGGCAAATCAATTCAATTGTGAGACTGTGGGGTGTTTTCTTCTGCGTCTCCTGAAGTGTGTGTGTGTGTGTGTGTGTGTGTGTGTGTGTGTGTGTGTGTGTG